AATATTATCAATTGAAAATTGTATAAACCTGAAAAATGTTTTTAATAATAAATAATTGATTTTAATAATATTACTGATTTTATGTTTCATAAGTTATATTTTTTTTAATATAGATGCGTGATATTTGATCAGATTTTGTAATAATTATAACTATTGAAACGTGTAGCAATATTGAATCATGCTGAAATTTCTGATCAATAATTTTATGATGTTAAATCATTCAAAAGTATATACGCCTGCAATACAAATGTTTATAAACGGTACACACTTTGATTTATAAAAAATATGGATAAGCTATAAATACACATTATTTTTAAAATATTGCCTTTTTAATTTCAACTTTGCCTTAACTGATTATGCAATATCAACGAAAAAAATTATTATTATAGTATATATAATAGAGAGTTCATAAATATATTTCTAATTTAGAAATAAACACAGAATAGTAGGTTTAATTTTGAGTTTCTTGAATATCGAAAAAATTAAAAATATATTTTCTAATAATAATTTCCTATTAAGTTATTATAACTATTAAAGTTCTCGCATGTTTCTTATCCAGTACAATATATAATCGAAGAAGATTCGAAAAATTAAACAAGAACTTTTTTGTAATTATTTTTTTTTAACGTCAATTTTAATACTTAAAACCATTATAACCATATTTGTTCAGCTTTTGTATATGCTTACTAAATGCATACTAGAAATTTAATTGATTAGTTTTTGCACGTGTATGCAGTATGCAATATGCGATTAACTACATACATTTATATTAAGAATTTAGTATAGTATTATAGTATTATTCTATAATATTCGTATTTGTAAATTAATGTGCTTAGTTTTTGTATACTTTTGACAATATTTAGAGATCGACTAATATACATTGATATTATTATTTTTATTGTTATATCATAAAAATCACCACTAAACTAATAAAAGTCTTTAGCTTATTATCTATTTAAAATTTTAATTTTACTATATAACATTATACATAAAATTTAGTATAATCCCAATTCAAATAGTTAAAACATACAACGAAATAGAATAAATGTTTCATAAAATTACGAAAACAACTACTAGAAAATTGTGATAAATAAAGTACATTATTTTAATACACCTTACTAAAGTCTATCTAATTCAAATGTGATAAAAATTAATTTTTTCTAGTATTCTATTTCCAAATATTTAAAATTAAATAAATTATGTATTTATGTAACTACAGTAAGAAAGGTGTAATAAAAATGAGTTCTATAAAATTTTGAAACCAATTAAAGTAGAGGAAAGTTCGGTTTATGGTAAATGTATAATGAAAGGAAAGTAAATACACTAGTGAATAGTATTTTATAGATTTCTAAATTTATTATTTGTAATAAAGACTAACGAATTTATAAATCCATTCGAAATACACCGCTTTTTCTTAACCTCCTGCACTACATCAACCCATTTCACTAAGGATACTTCATATCGTATGTTTTTCAAATATGTTTAAGAGCAAATTTAATTAAAAACGCTCTTAGAAAATCATTCCAATTTTATCTTTTTAAAATGAATACTGCAAAACTTTTAAGCTACACTTTTATTACATTCATCCTGAAAGTAAGACTAGAGATAAACTGACCTGAAATAAGAATATAGCGTTAATTACTAAAATCGCTTGTATACAATAGTTATTTGGCACATATTCATACTGTTCTCATTTAAATTGAGATGCAATAATAATTTAATATCTATAATTTTGCTAAAGTTATTTATAGTCGTTTTTTTAATTTAACTATCGATTTAAAAAGAACATAAAAAGATAAACTCAATCTAATAATTTAAAAAATCTTATGTTTTCCAATTAATTAAATAAAATTTATATAAAAACATTTATAAACTTTTATATTTTGAAAATATTTTTATCCTTATTTATTTTTTTTTATTTATCGTGTACAAAAATATTAATTTATGCAATGTTACTTCTACATTTTTCTGCGTTTAAACTATTTCCATGCATTTATTTGTATATATTTGAAATATATTTAAAAATATTTGAAAACCTTTAGTATTTCCACTGATTAAAATATGAGTAAAAAATCTATTATCTATACTTGGCTAATGCGTATTGACAAATGCATACTTGACAATTTCTTAATATCTTTATAAATATACAGTTTAAAGTTTGCAATTATGGATGTTGCATAATTTATTAGTATATATATAAGGTATATAATATATATCTAAGGTATATAAATAATTTATTAGTTGCTTATAGTAATGAGATTCAATTATAAGTTCACTTTTTAACTAATTTTTTACACCCGAAGCTTTAATTGTCATATATATATATATATATATATATATATATATATATATATATATATATATACATAGTATTTATAACTAATCCATTAGTATAAACATATATAAAATATTTTCATTATTATTATTATTATTTTTATCCTATTTATAACGTCGTAGATACAAATTAAAATGCTTATTATTGAAAAAAAAACGAATATAAATATATTGAAATCATAATAAATATTAATTAATAATTTCTATTAAAATATAAATGAAATGAGTTTCTTTAGTTATACAGGATAATATGAAAATATAAATTGAAAAATTGAATTTTTTTATGAGTAATTGCTTTATAATCAAATTGGAAAATAGAAAATTTTAATTATTCCAATTCCTGCCAATATTGTTTCTATTTTATTAATATTAAAATTAATTATAATTTTTAACCAACAGCTATACATAATAGTAATTGTAAATAATTAAACTGTAAGTATTGTATATAAAAATATACTATGAATGTAAAGTATAAAAATTAGTAGATATATATTAAGATTCTTAATAAATGTTTGTTCATAATTATATTATCTTCAAATGCAAAAATAAATACAGTAAAAGAATTAAAAAATATTTGTAAAGGTCAATTGATAAAACATATGGAAAAAATGTTAAGATGGGATTATTCTCATTTTCCTTAAAACATTACGAATATAGATCAAAGCGCTGACGTTATTATTAAAGATAAACAAATAAATTATTAATGTGATAAAATTAAGAAAATGGAGAGATAAATACAGGAGTATATCACTGACCTATACGAATGATAGTAAAGAATAGTTCGGTTGTGTAAAATTAAACATGAATAAGAAAAGAAAAAAGATAAACAATAATTCAAATAATTATTTAATCTTTTTTTTATTTTTAATGCACTTAGAGTCATCTGTAAGATCGTTTGAATTAATCAATATATTATATACGCACCTTTCTTACATTGTTATTAGTTAAAGGAAAACATTAATAAGAATTTTATTTAAATTGTACAGAATCTTTTATATTATATAATATACCACCTACATCCAGAGATTAGTAAATGTCTTGATTATACCTATCTTGTAAAGAAGAAAAGAATATAATATATGATTTCTTCAATGACATTATTCACAAAATTATTAATAATTAAATACAAAAATGTTAAACTGCACAAAAATAAAATGTAAATAAAGTGTAGTTATCAGGACAAGATTTAACTACTTAAAGAAATATATATGTTAAAGTATTCTTTACTGCACAGTATGCCATAAATGATTTATTCAAACTTGAATATTAGAATACTTATGAAGATAATATTCTGATATTGGTAAACAATAAACACCATATAAAATGACTGCATCTATAGGTAGTAGATTAGAAATTACAGATATCTTATCAATTACTGATAGTATTCGTAAACTAAAGAATATTGAAATATGACATAAATATTGTTCATGATCATAAATCTAAATTGTAATTAATAGATATTTCAATTTTATATCAACATAATGATTTTACAAGTACAAATTTTATTATTTATTTATTAACATTAAGTACCTATAATTTGAAATATTATTTTAAATTCTAATATATATGTAAATATTAGTTATGTAAAAAGAAGTATCCTAAAATAATTGTATTTATCGGAAAGAATTTAGATAATATTAACAAATAAATTAGTTTAAAATCAATAATTACTTTTGCATATCAAAATTTATTTAAAATAAATCGTTATTTCTTTAAGTAATTAGGATCACTTTCAATAATTGTTAAATAATGTAGTTATTTACGTTTTTTTTAGACTTTTAAGTAATTCATTGTACAACTTTTGTTCTCTTTTTAATTTATGTGAACTAATTTAATAAAACTTAGAAGAATTCATTTAATTATTTTTCTATAATTTTATTTCAATTATATTATAAATAGTTCAATGACATATGTTTATGTTATTGCACATAGAAATAGCCCATAAAAAGAAGTGATACAATTTAAATGTTAATAAACATTCATTTAATCACGTTTACTATTAATATTTATTTTGTTATTAGTATCTAGACATTTTTAAATTGTTTAAAAATGGTCAATATACTGTGATGTTTTAATACTTTTTCATTATAAAATATGCTTTAAATTTAGTAGTGCAATAAATATACCAAAATTTTATAATTAAAATTTTATAATTAGGAACTTATGTAATTCCTAAACAATCAAATTTCAATCATTTTTTTCGTATATCGCAACATTAAATTCATTTTTATTGTAACTCATAATAAAACATTAAGATATAATTATGAATTATAATTAATTGATTAAACAATATAATATCAAATTATTACATACAACGATAATTATTTATTTAATTACAATGTTTTCTTTACTTATTCTACATTTTTATAAATTCAATATTTTTTGTATTTATAAGATACAGTTCTTTATAATAAGAAAATTATGTTTATGCCAGTTTTTTAAGTATAATAATCATTAGTCTTAATGATAATCATTAATTTTTTATATAACACTTATTTAACAGTTTAAGGAGAATAATATTTATACTGTAAAATGTTAATTTTTCATACGCTTTTATATGATTTTAATTAATACCAATTTCAGTTTAAATTAAAATTATGAAAAAAAAATATTTGTATGCAACGTAGTACTTAATTATTATGCATAAAAACAAAAATAGTTCTTACTTGCCAAATAACGGATGCCATAATCGTGACTCATCTGGAGAATTTGCAGTAGAGGATACTTCAGATTCTTGCTTTAATAAACCACTTCGTATCCTCAATAATGACGGATAAGAATTTAAGTTTTGATTATTTGAAAGATCCACTGGTCTAGGCATTAGTTTACCTATGGGCTTACAAATAAGTTTTGGTCTTTGCTGCTCACATTTGCTTTCTGATACTTTTTGAACACTTGCAATTTGATTTATTGTATTAATTAATCTTTGATTTGACTGATGGTCTTTTCCAATTGATCTTTCTCCATAATCAAGAACATGTTGTAAATGTGTAAGAGAAATAACAAGAAGATCAGGATCTCTCAGTAATTCTGGTCTTGTTAGAGCCTCTGGCAATCGCAATTCAGGTCTTGTTATCAGAAGTTTTGGAATTTCAATCAAAGGTGCACCTGCTAAAAGGGGGAGATAATCTCTAGGTACTAACAGAGGATCTGGAATCAAATGTCCCGAAGTATTCATTAATTCTCGCAATTGACTCGCTGGATCTAGAAAAATGTTTGGACTGACATACATTTCATGGAGTTTCATTCTGCTTATAAATTCATCTTGATTTGTATATCGTGAATTATTTGGTAAACATCCATTATTACTATCGATTTTATTTTGGTTAATAGTCCAATCAGCTGATAAAGGATATTTTGATGAAATACAATCTTTTGTAAAAGAATTTTGCACATCATCATTTATTATTGAATTTGTGTGATTTTTCATTTCTAAACGATTTACAATGTCTGTTGTTATTAGTCTTTGTGATTTTTTATTTATAACAACTTTGTCAGTTATGGAAGATTTTTGTAGGTATGTATCATCAGAAATACTATAAGATGGATTTAATTCAAAAGCACAATAATTATTCAAATCAGTTACTTGATCTTCTTCAACTTGATTTCTTGAATCAATATTTGGTGAAGAAAGGATATCCTTAAAAGATAAATCATTCTTTGCATCTTCTGAACAACTTACAGAGCATGGAGGACTTGGCAGAAGTCTTTCTAAATATGCTGAAGACTGTCTCGGAGATGTCATTAAATATGGTATTCTACTAGGTTGTGGTAAAATTTGTGAATTAAAGTCGTCAATAATTTGTTCATCTAAATTATCGATTTCTTTATATTGATACAAATCGGAATAATTTGTTTGTGATTCACTATTTTTATAAAATAACTGAATAAGTGGCTTAAGATTTGGTACTTTAGTTGAATCTACTAAAAAATTTTTACCTTGATCATCATAAAAATGTTGAAAATCTTTACTTCGATAAGTACATTTAATACTATGCCTTTTATAATTATTTTGATTTTCAATTTTATCTATAACTGAGTCGTATTCTTGATTTTCTTCATCTTCACAATTATTTATGTCACAATGGCACATTTCATTGTTTGAAAAGTTTAATGTACTTTTAGGCAAATCTACTCTATTTTTTAAAATTGATGATTTTTGTTTTGATTTACTTGAATAGGTTGGAATTACAATAGAAATTCCTGGAAGTGATTTTATTTCCTCAGTAACATTAGTTTTAGAATCTGGTGTTCTATTAGAAGGCAAAAATTTGGTTCCAGACGAAATTGTGTTTATAAAATTAGTATGTTTTCTGCCACTTACAGCTAATGATACTGATAAACCTGGTGTATTTTTTAAAATACGTAAAATTTTTGAACTTTCTAGTATGTCATTTTCTGCGTTTATTTCTTGAATTTTATCAATTAATGATATTGATGTAGAATTACAGAAACCTATTCTACTTTGCTGATGAGAAGCATCATCATAAGGTGTATACTTAATTTTATTTAATTTTTGTTTATTAAGTCCATATTCAGAAGTGATTAAAATATCAGATACACTTTTAATTTTTTTATGATTATTTATTGATTTTTCCAATCTTTGAATTGTTTCGTTTAAACTTTTACTTCCAATACGATGTTTAATATTATTTCGTTCAAATTTAATTTTTTTTTCTATTGCTGTTAATTCATGTTGATTTTTTTCACATTCCTTTGATAATAAATTAATGTTACTATCGTTTATTTGGTTAGTTAACAATATAGCTGTATCAAGTGTTTTTGAACTTTTAGTTAGGTTCCTATTATCAATTAAACAACTTTTTTTTTTATTAACATTAATTGGAATATCATCAGAATTTAATATATTTAGCATATCTAACCAATCTTCTTCATTAAGAATAACCTCGTTTTCTGAATCAATTTGACTTTCATTATTATTTTGATTATTATTTTCTACATTATCTAATACAATTTCATCAACATTATTTTCACTATTTCCTTCGCTTTTCTTATAATTCTTTTCAGATTCAATCTTGGTCATTAACCTTCGATGTATTCTAATAGGAAGTTGTGATAAATGCAATTGTTCCAATACCACGCGTGGCTGAAAATGTCGATTATTTTCGAGTTTCTCTAAATCATTATACATTTTATGATTATCAACTAATGTCATAACTTTTTCAGAATTACTAATATATTTTTGAAACTTTTTATCCTCTTTTATATTAAATTCCTTAGTATTTCTGATTTCATCGATTTCTTCATTTTTGTTAGTAGATTCTTCCTTAAATTTTATTTTATTTTGATTATAGATTTTATTTTTACGCATGACAATCTCTTCTGTATATAACTTTTTCCTCTTTTTATTTTTATCAAGTTTTCTACGTTTTTTCATTTTCCAATTTGTAGATACTAATGTTTCATTAATAGAAAATTCTTCTGCTTCTGAATTGATTTTTTCTTTCTTGTTTTTTGAAAGTTCAGTGTAATTTTTTCTTTTTTGTTTATACCTCTCTCTTTCTTCTTTATTTTTATTTACTTTACTATCATTATTGATTCGAGTATCTTCACCAACTCTTATTTGTTTTATCTCAACCTGATCCCTAGATGAATTTTCTTTCTCTTCATTTTTTGAAGTTATTGTCACCGAATTTTGTTCGATTTCATTTTCTATGACAGATTCCATGACAGGATATGCGGTCAATACTGTACGAGGTATTGAACGCCATCCCTGTGCAGTTTTTGTTAATTTTATACGATTTCGTTTATCATAATCTTCACATCTAACTTCGACTATTCTTTGTTCGCGTTGTGCTGCCCACAGAAATATTGGATTCACTTTGGGACGCTTACCATAAATTTCTTCTTTTTTCGTGCATTCATTATTTCCTAAATTATTTTTAATAGATTGTGTTTTTGTCTCATTTTTATTATGGGTAGTATTGTAACGTCGCTGGTGCTTTATATGATGGCGGTGGTGGCGCCTTTGACGTTGGGGCACTATGCCCCTTACAGGGGCCGAGCTCATTACTCCATTCAAAGAGCAGTAAATTTTACACACTGATAAACCGATGTTCTGAATTTTATTGTATTAAAATTATTTGGTTTTTAAAATTATAAATCATTTTTACAGAGTTCTAACTCTCATAATGTAATATAATATTAACAAATGTATTAATTTTATTATTTTATATTCCCAACATATTACTTGTATTATCAAATATTACTTAAATTTGGTTTCAATATTTAAATATAAATTATATTTTAATTTAATATATTATAATCGGTCATTTTACTTATTAAATTAAATTTCTTTGGAATTAATATTGTTGTGCGTAATTTTAGTATTCGGTATGAAACAATAAATAATTTTTTATAGAATAACCGAAGTTTACAATTTTTCAATAAAATTTTGAAAAATTATACTTTGCTACTCGATTCTGAAAGGTCATTGCCCTATATGAAATGTTATAATAATTATATTACACATTGACTGAAAAAATGCACAATTGAAATTGTATAGTTTTTAATTCATTGTCACTTCACCACCTATGTGTGTGAGTACATGCGGCTGTGTGTTTATATGGCTATAATCTAATACCTTAATTGACTATGTAATAAAATGTTTTATTAAATAATATTACATGATTAACATGTTTTTTTTTATTTTGAAACGAATATTTTTAATTAGATACTAACAGTACATTGACCGGATTTCTTTTAAAAAAATATACTAGACATTGCAAGCATCCACTCAGAGTTCGTCTTTGATTTTTTTATACAGTAGCACTGCATTAGCGTTATTACTACAGGTAAATAGATTACTAATAATAATAAATGTATTTTACTCAATAAATAAAAACTATCATAATAATGAACATTGTAAGTGTCAATAATGTATTAACTGTGATGTTGACAAATTTTAGACGCGATCAATTTTGTTATCGTTATTATGACATAACGTGCAAACTAAGCGCCTCGCCAAGTAAACACCAAAAATGTGCAAAGAAACTCACATATCCACTGCCTAGTAGGTACTGCTTATTTCTCCGATTCTCCGCATATACACCGCCCCCGCACCATAACCCCACTACTGTCGCACTCTCCCACCTAACTAAACCCTCTAGCCTGTGCAGCCCACCACAACGCGCCCTGCAGCCATCAGTTTGTGGCTAGAGACGAGGAAAGACTAGATACAAAAACACAAATGAGAAAGAAAAATGAATTGAATTAGAAACAAGAGGGATAAAAAGAAAACGAAAATCAAATAAAAATTTTGAAAAAAGGGAAGAGAAAAACAAAAACTGTATTTTAAAGTGTAAAAAAATGTGTATGAATATATATACATATAAATGATATTCTCAAAACTGTGTATTTTTAGATATTAATTTTATCTCATCCATTTATTTTCTTAGTATTTGCATATTTTTTAACTTTCTCTTTGAAAACCTGAAATGTATTATTTCATTAAATTGTAATGATTCATTAATCAATATATATATATATATATATATATATATATATATATATCGTTTTATCACTTATTTATTATATACAATTTATTATTTATATTTTCTAACTATGCAAAACTAATTACAAATTATAACAAAGGTACTATTTAAACAGTTTATAAGTGCAATAAACTTTTTTAATCTCTTACAAAAAAATCTTATTTTTTTATAATAGTATATAATCTATTTAAATAAATAATAATTGAAAGTATATTAAAATATTTTAACATATTTGTACTTTCCAATTTAAATTGACTATTGTTTTATTTTTAGTAATAGATTATACAGAATCTTCAATTTTATTAAATTCTTAATAGAATTTTATACGCTTCTTTTCTTTTTTTTATTTTCACTACATTACTTTTATTACATGCTTAATAAATGTTTATTTGTATTATTTATTCATACTAAAAAATTCTATATAGTATTTCTCTTTGATAACATGCTTATGCTTTATTTCATTAGAGTATTCCAATTTACTCATATATTCTATTAAGTTTGTAGTTTTAATAAACTGTTTTTCTTTTAAATTACTAAATCAGTTATGATTTATATATATACTAAAGTATAAAAAATATTGTTTCGTAAGCTATAACTTTAAAGCTCAAGAATAGAATTTTTTTAATACAGAAACAGTTCTATATTTTTAATTATAATTTTTTAGTAATGTATGTATTAAATATTAATAGGAGATTATTAAAATTAATAAATTAGAAAATTATATATTATAATATTCATCACTATTTTATAAATATTTTGTTATAATGTATGAGGTAGTAAATACACTAAAGAACCAAATATAATATTGTTCATCATAAAACTTTTAGTAAAACTAATTTTAAAAATTTTTTTTGAATGTCGTTGCATTTTTATTAGTGTTTGTACATCATCTCTTTATAAAGCAATATAATGCACATTTTATTAATTCGAATTAAATTTTAAATTACCAATTTTATACATTAATTAAAAGAATTAAAATAAAAATTATTACATTATCATTTTTACTTATTATTACAACAAAAAAGAATAACTTTTATTGTACGTAAAATTTGTCATAATGTATTTTAATTTAAGATATCAATTTTAAAAAAAGAATAAACGTTTATCCGTAAAGCAAAATATTATAATTATCATAATTCATTCGAATTTATATTAAAATGTTTATGCAATTAACTGTCAAAACATATATATATATATATATATATATATATATATATATGCATAGCTATTTAGACCCTCTCTCTCTCTCTCTCTTTGCCCCCCCCCTGTATAGGTGTATCCACAAGCTATCTTATACAAAATCATTAGTAAGAAGTAGTAGCCTTTTGCACTATTAATTACAAAATTTCTTCCACATGGCACTGATTAATTTTCTGATCATTTGTTATTGCAAAATTATTTTCAAAATATTGAAATTCAGAGTCTAGTAAATACAATAAAAGTGTACCTAAAAATTAGATAAATGTATTTCAAAGAAACACAGTACAAAATAATTAGAATTGTAAAACTATTTCTTTTCAAAAATATTCCTTACTTAATTAACAAATTTTTAAAGGTTAGTATTAAAAAATTGTAGAATTTTTCTGTAAATATTATTATTAATTGTGATAATCAATTTTTACTTAAATAAAACTTTGCCATTATGTCAACAATTATATTGACAGTTAAGTATGATATATCATTAGTAAAATGTACAAATATTATTAAATCTAATAATCTACTCATAGCTTTTTAATTTTACTAATATAATTAGGTATTATCGCAGATCAATATTTATAAAAAGAATACAATATTGTATCATACTGATATAGTTTTATTTTACTCTATGTTAAATACTTGTCAAAATTGTGGGATTAGTTAATAGATTGATTTAAATATTTGATATTAAATATCAGTGTCATTATACGTTAAAAATGAAAATATTTTTATTCATAAGAAAAATGTTGTTTTAATGAAAATGGTCGCTCGTTATTTTTATAGCAGTATCTAAATTTTATACTAAATGAAAATACCATTTTTATATTCCATTATTGAGAAACATAAAAATGTTTGTTATCTACAATTTCAAAATAAAAGATTCCGTTTATATTACCATTGATTAAATCTACTTGAAATTATTAAACTAAAAAATATTTTTATGATGTAAATATTTTGCCTATATCTATTTTTATAAGAATTAGATCAAAATTTATATAATACATAAATATTTTTTTTTAATTATTATTTATTATTAATAATAATAAAACAATAATTAATTTTTTAATTAATTTTTAATAAGGATTTTTTATTATTAAAAAATTAGATACTTTTTTGTTAAATATATAGTTTCCTAGCTATATAGTTCTTACTAATTTAATTATAATCTCAAAAACTTATGTAAAAGAAAGGATTAAAAAGGTTAGATTAAAAAAGAATTTTTAATACACTATTTTGCATTAGTGCAGTGAGAAAGACGGGATTTTAAAAATCATCAGAATAATTTGAATAGTTTTTACATTTTGTTTTCTTATTTTTTAAATTTTATAATAAATGCATGATTATTAAGAAAGAAATTTTGTTCAATTACTAATTTATATAAATAGACTACTTATCTATAATTAATGCTATTTCATAATATGCACTTAACTAGTTTTTATTGCCATTTTCTCATATAAAACATATTTTACCCATATTATATTATATTATAATGCTTATATTATAATTATACTTAAATAACAAGTAATTATTTATATTTTATATGTATAAATTAATTATTAACAAATTTTATAACATTATTTAATTATAATTCTTCAATTTTATATTTAAATACCATTATATTCAATAAACTTTAATGAATTGAATAACATATGTAAATATTAATATAAATAATAAAATAATATAATATCAATATTTTAATGAATATGTGGAAGAGTCAAAATTTAGTGTATTTACATAAATACATTTATATATGTTATATTAATCACCAATACGAACCATGCAAGTTTATGTATGCGTGTGATCTTAGAATGCAAATTAATAAGTATGTAATTATACAGTCTTTCCGCGCATGTAAAGACCACAGACTTGAAATACTATAATAAATATAAACGACAGTACTAGTAAGTCAGTTGCTGCTTTAATCTTTTCAAACATTTGTCATTTCTTCTGTCTGTTGAGGAAAATCCCATTGATTGCTATTTGAGTAAGATGAACACAACTCGAAATCGTATTTCCCATTCGTAAATTCTACTCAACGCCAAAATCATATCACAAATTTAAAAAAATAGTTTGAATAGCCAAGTGGCTTACTACTATGGTGTATTAGCATTTTTACAAATAACGTATTTTCTTCTACGTTATTGTATATCATGAGCATAAATATCTTCGATATTTATATCAGTGAAACATCCCTAAATCCCTGAACATACGTACATGATGATTTTCTGTGGAATCCCTTTATGCTTCTTATTAACATTCGATATTATTGTTACAAAACTACATGTAGCATCATTTAAATATAGTCATGTATATTCATATCAAGTTTATGTTAACATTATGTTTTGGCGAAAACTCACATTGTCTAGTCAGTTTCACTACCTACTAAAGAAAGATCCAAATATATTTTATCTTTCTCTAGTTTTTTAAC